AAATATCTCCATTATGACTTATAACTAACTGTGTGAACTTCTATACTACCTAAATCTATAAGTATTTCTTTCCTTTCCTTTCTTTTACTATTTTGATTTCCACTATAGTGGAGATTGAAATATGAGTATTAGTCATTTTTGCCTAGTGGAATTTAAAATTCCACTATAGTGGAGATTCAAATTTTATTCTCCACTAGTTGAACTTAAAATTTCAATTTCCACTGGATTCTTGTCAGTGGAAATTGAAATTTTAAACTCCACTAGTGAAGATTGAAATTTTAATTTCCATTAGTGGAATTTAAAATTCCACTGAATTTTAATTTCCACTGTAACATTTACATTTTCTTTTGTACTACGTGTGTTTTAACACTATTACTACGATACTTTGAAACTATGAAACTCACACTGTGATACTGTGATACTATGATACTATGAAAGTCAGTTTCCTGGTGTATATGCGGCACCAGTTTGACCATAATGAGGGATCAAAACACTGTAACTGCGTGGCCATGGACTGTAGAGCATAAAATTTCCACTTCGCTGGAGTATTAGACATTAAGCGTAGACCACACTTAATTCGAAACCATTCTACCATTGTTTTAATATCTAATAAGGCAAATCCTCCATCCACCCTTTTCCAATTATAGTTTTGAAACTAATTGTGGGGTGTTTTCCTCGCCATAAAAAGGCATTTACGATCTTTTGCAGTTCATTTATGGTGGTTGAGTGGACTGTGATGAGGGAAAAAAGGTAGACGATACAACTAAGACGGAAAACTTTCAATATTGTACTTCTCTCTACTCTAGAATCAGTTTTCAACGAGGAATTCGGAAAATTTAATTGTAAGAAGTAAAAACATAAGCGGAAAAAATTGGAGGTCTTTTTTTGAAAAAGAAGGATCTTTGGCGTTTTCGATCTATTCTCAATACTTCGCATTTTCTCCATCAAAATTTCACTTTTTCGAGCTGGGAAGGTGATTTTCGTGATCAGCTCGACGTGGCGATTCAGAATATGTATAATAAAGCACAAAAAATTTCACTCGAAGTTTGCTTTACGTGCATCTTACAACAGCCCAACAGTCAATTCAAATGCAACTCGAACACACTGTAGCGCTAAGCCGTAAGGTCACATACACACTCTAGTAACTGTTTATTTATTTCAACAAGGCAGGAGGAAATAGTAACCGACTTCCTCCTCCTTTTATCGTTATCTTCATCATTTATTCCCAAAAACCTATTAATCACACTTCCGGTATGTCGCTCTCCAAAATACTCTCTCCAAAGACATTTTTTAAACCAAAAAATGACAAAGCTCAACATGTTTCTTTAATCCATGTAAAAATACACATTTTTCTTTCCTTTTATCAGAAGAAAAAGCTACCCTGTATAGTGCACACGCAATTAAGGAACATCATTTTGTGCAAGTATGACTACGTGATATGTGTACGAGTATGACTATCTGACACATGCACAAGGGGCTAATCACTCGCCGTGATCGGAATTCACCCCCATATGATTTCTAAAAATTCGGTTTTTGTGAAAATCTCAGCGATTTTTACCGAAGTTTTTTTAACACGATAAATTTTCTCCAAATGCCTCTATTTACAAAAAATTATAAAGATACACCAAGACATACCGACGTGATCTTTCTGCACTGCATGATTTACCATATCGAATGAACTGTTGATGTATAGATGACATATATATATACTGTCAGAGCGCCGTAGTAAAAACAATTTCACTCCCTCTTGAAAAATATTCCCCCATTTTTCAGCAAATCCTTTCACTACTCTCTCTCTCCCTTTGAATCATACATTCATTTTCTTCTTCTACACGTCTGTCCGTCTCTATCGTGCTTGTTCAAAAATTGTATATAAGGCACACTCATTTCCAATATTAGTCACCAGTTCACGAGCATTTACTGATGAAAGATAATTCGAAACGCGTTTAAATTCTAGTGAGTACATTTTCCATTTTCTGTTTTTCCTTTTATTAAATATTCGTCGTCGTTTTTACAAAGTACATATAGTTTGTCACCCTAAAATTTCAAAAAATCTCTTTTCGTTATTATTTATTCAAGCAACGTTCTCTTCTTATTTCTCGCGTTTTATTTCACCTTTCGTACTTCTCTTAGTACACAAAAAGTTAAAAAATCAAAAAACCAACTTTTCAAAAGAAAATTGGTAAGCTTTTCCTTTCGTTTTCTTTATTTTTCCGCTTTAATTCTCTTCTTCTTCGATTTATTATTAATTGTCAAACCTCCTCACCATCATCCTCATATCACCCTCAAACTAAACAAGACAAAAAGTGAGTTTTTTTGTGTCATTATTAGGGATTTTTGTTCTACAATCGATAGTATAAATGTTTCATTACGAGTAGACAGTCGTAATTTGAGAAGAATGGGAGGTTAAACATTTAATAACATATTTGAAGAGTGTTCTCAAGTTCATAACTGTTGTTTGTTCACAGAAACCACCGTCACTCGATTGCTGGTTTCTTTTTGATCACTATTTGATCGAATAATATTCATTGAATGTTTCATAAATGGCTTGTGCACGTTATGAGCTATTTTAACTCTGCTAACGGTGACTTTATCAAATGTTGATGCTCTTCTTCGCATATCATTGTCGACTTTAGTATTCGTACGGCTCGTATGACAGGCTTCTTTACTCCGGCTACTAATTGTTTTGACCAGAACATTTCGATTTATTTCTGTCGATGGAATTTGATTGGAAGAAAGAGTATTGACGCCAGTTTCGAACGATGGTGATACTTTGTTTCTTGGCAATTTTACAACATGTATTCTAGTTGGTAATGTAGAAACAAATTCGTTCTCTTGGTAATAAAATGTTGATGATTTATTCGGTTCATTATTCTCAATGATTTTTAGAACTTTTGGTGATTTTGTTAGTGTAGAAACAGTAGTAGAAGAACGTTCGGATCTTGATTGATTTCCAACAGCGGATATATTTTCATTAGAATCTTGTTGTTGATATGATTTGATCGATTCATTTTCTTCTTCAGATGATCTTGCACTTTTCTCTATTTTAATTAAATCGAATTCAATTATCGATGTTGACATTGTTTCTGTTAAACTACTGAAAGGAAAACTAGTTAAACTTTTTTGAGTGTTGAATCTACTGGATGAGGAGTAATTCTTTAATCTTTTAGTTGGTCGAATTTTCCTGATTTTTTCTTCAATGGGTAATGCAGAAATTTCTTGTTTCAAGTCTTTTCTCATTTTATTCAGTCGACGATGCTGTACCGCAGCACTACTATAAAAAAAATCGTTAATAAATAAGAAAATATTGAGCAGCTCCTAATGATCATCTCCAGAAAACTTTATGTACAAAAAAAAGATATTAATGATTATCATTTTAGATGATATAGCCAAAAGCAGCCGCAACCTAAAATCAATAATAAACCTAAAATCAGAGGACCCACAATTAATAGTAAATGTGGTTGATTGGAATCTTAAATTATAGAAAAAACAATACGATACGTATATAAATATAAAATAGAAGAATATATGTAAGTTCAACCTACTAGGAGTTATCGTCGTTGTTCCAGTTGTAGTTCTAAATACACACATATTTTTATAGAAGTTTTCCATAGGATTCTTCTTTTAATCCTTCTCTTGTAATCTTCAACTTAAAAACTAACCGATCACTTTTTTATATTAGATAAGCTAATATTTATTAGCATAATCAAAAATCTTAATTAAAAAAGAGCTAACTACGCAGTATATTTTAATCTTTTCTTGATGATATCTTTTTTTTTGGATGATGAAGCAGTAAGAATTAATTTAGAAATTATTGAGTCTAAAACTGTTACGAAGAACATAACTGATTTTTATTCTGTTAGATTCAAAGTTATTTACTAGAAAGGAGAGCGAAATTTTCGTAAGTTGTACTGAAGAAAAAATCGCAGTTTCCATAATCGGAGAGATTATATGTCTCAATCTAAGCTTGTCGCTTTGAAAAACTCTACAAATATTATGAGTCTCTTCACTAACCTCGATTGGTATCTAGTTATCACGGTGTATACTAATTATAGCGTCACTTAAAATATTTGAATCAAGCTCTGTCTGTGTATATCAAGACTCTTTCTGTTGATATTGCTGGTTGAATTCCGATTTCAGACTTTTAAATTTAGCTATGGGAAAGAAAGGATTAAGTGGTGTCAAGTAATGAAGAGATTTTACAAAAAGTAAATAAAAGATAACTATATTAGTATCCTTGTATCAAAATAATCGATAGAAAAAGAAATATAAAAGATAAATTAATGGAAGAGAATAAACTAATATGCTCCTGGACAAAAGTCCTGCAGTTAGGTAAAAACCATTCAGATAAAAGTTGTTTGTCTTGAAACTTGTACAATAACAAGAACTTAGTGTATCTTGATCACAGGTAAAAATTCAAGCCCTATTCCCTTACCAATGCTGATGAGAGAACCTCTCCGATTGTCAAATGGCTTTCGACTTGGACACCTCAAATAAATCAGATTGGATCGCAACAATTTTGTACGCTTGCTTATACAAGGTAAACACTATTCTTCTAAAATATTATAGAACATGTTTTTACAATTTATAGTGAGAGTGTACAATCTAATCCGTATTGTGTGATATTCACTGTTGGAACACCACAATCTTGCACGACAACTACTTCTACAAGTACAACAAGTACAACAACCACATCAGAAACTACAACGACTAGTACAACAGCAACTACTAGCACGACAAGTACCACAACATCAGAAACTACTACAACGGAGACAACAACAACTACTACTTCAGTAACGTAAGTAACAAAATTACAGTCGTGGACAAAAGTCTCACAGCTAGGCAAAGACCGTTCAGATAAAGGTTGTTTGTCTTTAAACTTGTACAATAACAAGAACTTAGTGTATCTTGATCACAGGTAAAAATTCAAGCCCTATTCCCTTACCAATGCTGATGAGAGAACCTCTCCGATTGTCAAATGGCTTTCGAGTTGAGAGTATGTGCATCATTTAGGTCCTAACGAGATATAAAAACCGTGAAAAGAGTTCGAGTCACCAGTTTACTGCTGCCGAGATATCGTATTTTGACAGTATTTTAAGTTGAAAGCCGTGATCTCTCTCATGAACACCAGGAAAGCTGAGTTTCCGAATTTCGAACTGAAAATTTCCACCGAGAGAGAGGCTTTAATCAGAATAGTCTGTTTTGGAAGTTTCAGATCTTTTGGTTGTTCATATCCTACT